AACAAAAGGGGGGCCAGACCATCCTCTGTGCACTTGAAACAAGAATTTCCCCTTGGAACTTCCTTCGATGGTAACCAGGGATTTGCATGGAAAACATGGCAAGGTCAATAATGCCCCCCAGTACTATAAATCCAACCCGAGGCTTCTTTTTCCGCTTTATCTTTATCCGGGTTTGATTTCCCTAGCTAAGTACTTTCATTCAATCTAGCAGGCTAGCTGCCTATTCTGCCCCTCTCCTCAGTCTTGGCCATTTTGGCGAAAGATGTGAGGTTGTATGTACATAGTATGATGAATGGTGATTTGGAGACTATCCCTGCGGCATCAAAGTCAGCAGGGGTGGTGGGGAAGAGATGAGTAGAGGATTCAAAAGCCATTGAAAATAAGAGATGGAAGTTGCTAAACTGAAAGGGCTTTGATACCATGAGAATGCGGCGTCAAAGCCAGTAGGGGTGGTGGGGAAGAAGATGAGTAGAGGATTCAAAAGCCATTGAAAATAAGGGATCGAAGTTGCTAAACTGAAAGAGCTATGATACCATGAGAATGTTTACATAATCCACCCCACCTAAATGATGTGAAAGTTTTCATATTTATAATCAAATAAATTATAAGGATATGAGAAGAGTAATAAATGGAAACAGACACTCATGTCAAGAAGTCAAATATCTAGATATTTGTATATAATAAAATATCAAATATGATATATATACATTGAACTCAGACTTCAATCCCTTTCTTTTGGCTCTTTTTCCTGGTCTATTTTTTAATAAAATATGAAAATTTGATTGTCACTTGTTTGTTTGTCCTTTTTGTGTTTTAGTCTCTCTTTCTCCAATTTTCCAATGTTTCCTATAAAATGGATCCATTCTTACTTAGTTCCAAAATCAAAACTCTTCTTTCTTCTCGATTAACAATTTCAAGTTTCATCCCATTTGACAACAATGGCGGAGGAAGTGAAACTGCTGGATTTCTGGCCGAGCATGTTCGGGATACGAGTTAGAATAGCCCTGGCCGAGAAGGGCGTAGCGTATGAATACATGGAACAAGATCTGAGGAACAAGAGCCCTTTGCTGTTGCAGATGAACCCAGTTCACAAGAAGATCCCTGTTCTTGTCCATAATGGAACACCCATTTGTGAATCCTCCATTATCCTTCAGTACATCGATGAAGTTTGGAATGACAAAGCCCCTCTCCTCCCCTCTGATCCTTATCACAGGGCTCAGGCCAGATTCTGGGTGGATTTCATCGACAAGAAGGTAACTTTATTTCTTTTCATACGACCTTTGTTCAACATTTGAATCACTCTTAACTATATTTTTAAAGCATTTCAGGATTCTATTGATATGGTTCTAAAATCATGTTAGTAAATACGACTCTCCACAACGATAAAATATTGTCCACTTTAAACATAAGTTTTCATGACTTTACTTATAATTTTTCCGAAAAGCCTCATATGAATGAAAAACTTAGCAGCTTTGTGATGCGGGGAGGAAGGTATGGGGCGGGAGGGGAGAAGAGGCGGAGGCAGGGATGAAGGAGCTGATTGGAGTTCTGAAGCAGCTGGAAGAGGTTCTTGGGGAGAAGGGTTTCTTCGGAGGGGAGCGTTTGGGGTTTGTAGACATTGCTTTGATTGGATTCTACAGTTGGTTTTATAGCTATGAGGCGTTTGGTAAGTTGAGCATCGAGGCTGAGTGTCCCAAGATAATGGGTTGGGTGAAGAGATGCTTGGAGAAGGAGAGTGTTTCCAAGTCCTTGCCTGACTCCAAGAAGGTCTATGACTGCGCGGTTCAAATGAAGAAAGCACATGGCCTTGAATGAGCAATCTGCTGTTCCTCCTCTCCAATAAAGGGCATGACCCCGCTTTTAGTTCTTGAAATAAAGGCCATGCATGTGTTTTGATTTGTGTTATAAAAGCTATTTCAAAGAGTACTTGTTATATAGAGTTATGAGTGTATATTAGTTCATGCAGGTGCGGTACAATCTCGCCTCTCGGCATGACTATGGGGTTGGGCCCAAGTTGCTTGATGCGCCCCTACAGTTGGTTGGGCAGGGGAGTCATGGGCCTGCTTTGTCAAAACATAGCGATGGGAGGTTAAATGTTTGGTTTGCCTTCTTATAAGAATTTCAATTCATGGGCAATCTCACAATCCCTTCTTCAATCAATGGGCGATCTCACAATTCGTGGCATCTCATAAGATACCCAGTGTACGGTTTTACTTTTTCAACCGTGCGACGTTGTGATCTTGACACGCTCATGACTAGTTTTAAAGAGAATCTATCCCCATATATATTTTCCATGACTAGTCTTAAGCGAGGTTTGTCTTCGCCAACCGAACATCGTTTGTGCGCAATCCAAGATTGTTCGACCACACATGCTGTCTACGTGTGCATGTTCAATCATCTACTTGCCTCTACACTAGGCCAAGTCATTCGATTTGACCTTGCCTCTACTCAAGGCTAAGGTCTTTCAATACAACATCGCATCACATCTTGTCATCTTGACACCATCCCAAGTCTTGGGGTGATATCGGCCATCACAACTCACTCAACCATGTCATTGAGAATGGGCCCACGTGTCGCTCATCTCATTGGGACACTTGAACATTCATCCATCCGAATTTTATTGAGGCATTGGCCCTCCATGCATATGCCATGTCATTTATGGATACCATTCCAGATGGCAGGTGCATATATTAACCTCTGACATGCGGGCTGGGGTGCAATACCGACACACATCTGTGCCGCCAGGTACTGTCCATGAAAAATCCATTTCAAAGGAAGTCGTTTGGGACACTCATCTCGACACGCTCGCCCTCGCTGTGACACACGCATATGCCATATGGTATCTCACTTAGGCCACAGGGCTCAAGGGTGGTGGAGAGTTAACATCATGCCTCTCCTATAGTATATTTTGAGTCGTTTTCAATACTCCACCCATAAACGTGATTTTGGCAAATGGTCATACGGTGTCATGAAGTGTTCATTTGACGTCTAATTGACGCCAAATTTGGCGAGCGTTCATCTTTCATATGGACGGACTTAGCTCCAGAACCGCATGCTCAAATTCCTTCCAAACCTCGACTTTCGAGATTAAGGCCCGAGACCATACTCGGCCCTTTAACAAGTCTATCTTTGCCACTCTTGTCTATTTGATATCTCTATCTTGCTTATGCCTTGACTTGTCATCAATGTCCACTATGTATGGTGTGTTAGATGATGCATCATCCTCCTTGGTCGCATCATGGCACTTGTCTAGGTCCTCACGTGGCCAGATGTGCACCACTTGAGGGTCGCTTCTCTTGTCGCAATGTAAAGGTCACAACCTACTCTTTTCATAATTAAGTTGTCACACCTAGCGTTCTCGCTGGCTCTCCAACCAATGTAGGATCTCACAATCTATCCCCTTGAGGGTTCAACGTCCTCGCTATCACACCGCCCAATGTCTGGCAATGATACCATTTGTAACACTTCAAGCTCACCGCTAACAATATTCTCGGCTTTGACTAGTTATGTATCGCCGTCAATTTCACACCACACCTTATAAGTCATGTTTCGTTCCCCTCTCCAATTCATGTGCGATTTCACAATTTGTAGGATCACATCTCTACATTGGTTAAACTGAGCTGAAGACGGAAATTACATTGAAGCATTTAATTTTATTTTAAATATTCGATATCATTTTTAAAAATTAAAAAGAGAATAAATAAATAAATAAATGGTCCCTCCTTCACAGCCAAAGGACAACTTTAGGAAGGAAAAGATGTGATGTTAAAAGGTAGTGCCATTAATTAACAATTGTCCTCTAATACGGTGCCGTATCGTCCCTGCCAACTCTCTTCTCCACTTTTTTGTTGGTCCAATAAATTTCATAACTTTTCATAAATACATTAAAAATCAAAATTAAATTCAAATTCAAATTCAAATTCAAATTCACCTCATTTTCTGAATTATTTATTCAAAATATTGTTAAAAACCCTCATAATCTAAGTGATTGAAAATTAATTTTAAAATTTCAACAAAATAAATAAATAAATAAATAAAATAAACTATTTTTTTTTTGTTAGGACGATGTTTATCTTAATTTAAAATCTTTTAAAACGATGTGAAATGCGAAAATACGAAATCGTCAAAATATACTAATAAGATATGAATAGGACATGACGTTCGAATGCTTAGCCAAAAAAGCTCGTCATTTCCTACACGCCAACTCGCCAATTTAAAGCACATTGTCCTCTTCAATTCAGTTGCAACACCACTTGCAACGCCATCAACCAAGACCCTCTACTCTATAAATACCATATTGTTCGTATATTTTCGTGTCAATCTTCTACCTCTTCTACTCTTCTTTCACCCTTTTTCTATACCAAATATTTTTCTCAATGGGCAAAGAAACTAAATTCCGAGCTGCAAGGATGACCATGGAAGTGGTTCCACGCCTCATCCTTGCTATGACCAAACATCGATCGATATCAGTGCTCGATACCATTTTCGAGAATGAAGTTCACTTGGAAGACATTAAAGATCAAGTCGTTTCATCTCAAATCTGCACCGATTACTATAGTCGAAGAAAATGAAAACGTCAATTTGAATTGCAAAATTGACGAGAGAATTCATCGTCCTTTCATTTATGTATTTTTCAAGAAAGAATAAGGAACATTAGGGAAAAAACACATTGTAGTGTATATGATGAGGTTGTTTCCTTTTGTCTTTTTTTTTTTTTTTCCAATTATTTTGGAGAGAATTGTAGCCAACCATATTTCAGTGTTGGGAGTAATTTTCTGAGATTATATTTTGATTTATTATTACTTTCTATTTTATTTTCCTTTTTAATTCTATATTATTTATTCACGTACCTTAATTTTTCTTCACATTATTAAAAAAACTAAAATAAATAAATAAAAATTATATATATATTTTGTATGAATATACAGTGTTACAATAAAATTAAAACAAAATCGTAATTATTTTAAAAAATAAAATAAAAAACTATTGATTTTTTTTTTTTTTCAGTTTTGAATTTAATCCGTCTAATATTTTGAGCTATAAACTATAATAATTGTTATTGGTATGAGATTTACTGGCACTTCCATTTTTAAATAAACCATTACTGAGCTTCCTCCAGTTCCACCATCCCCGCCGCCGCATGCGGTGGCTGGCTCCAGTCACGTGGCTCACGTGGGATCTGGCTTTTCTCATCAGCCCATACACCTCCGGCGCCCGATACGTTCTGATCAACGGCCACTTTATCCCGTCGAAGAACGGATGCCGTTTGATCTCCGTCGCCCCTTTTCCGGAACCCAACCGCCTTGCTGGATCCTTCACCAGCAGCCTCTCTATCAGATCTCTCGCCTCCGCCATCCCCTCTTCCTCCACCGCTGCCCGGAACTTCACCCCCTCCGACGACGCTATGTTCCTTAATGTACCCTCTTTGTTCACTCCCTTAAACGGCGTCGTTCCATGCAGCAGCTCGTAAACAAACACCCCAAACGCCCACCAGTCAACGCCGTTGCCGTGACCACCGCCGGTCACCAACTCTGGCGCTAAGTACTCATGAGTCCCCACGCACGATTTAGAAAACGCTGTCGTCGGCTCCGCCACAAACTCCCCGACAATCTCCTGCGATTCCACTGCCGCCGTCCTCCACCCAAAGCAGCTAGTACTCTGTGGTCCCGGCTGAGTCCACGTATGAAAAGTGGGGACCACTTCGGACTTAAAACACAAGTCGAAATCAGAGAGCATGACGTGGCCATCCTCACGCAAAAGAACGTTCTCAGGCTTGAGATCGCGGTACACGATCCCAAGCGCGTGAAGGTACTCGAGCGCCACCAGGACCTCGGCAGCGAAGAATCTAGCCGCTGCGACGGAGAAGCGATAATTGGGCTGTTTGCGGAGGAGAGAGTGAAGGTCGCCGGAGGGGCAGTAGTCGATAAGGAGGCACGTGTAGTGAGAGACATCGAGACGCGCGTAGAGAGTGGGAAGAAAAGGATGATTCAGAGAAGCGAGAATCTCGGATTCCGTTTGGACCTGCAACAGCTTCTTGTTACTGAGTGCGTCCTTATCAACGACCTTGAGGGCGAAACTGGCATGATCGTTGTCTCTCAAATGGCAGAGGAAGACGCGGCCGAGGTTGCCGGTGCCGAGGTGGCGGATGAGTTTTAGGTGGCGGAGGTGGAGATGGCCGTCGGATGAGAGTGCAGTGGCGGCTTTGATAGCGGACCAGTGAGGATCAGAGTGGTGGTGGGGACGATGGTGAACAGCGGCTGCGGCGGCGGCAGCGGCGGCGAGGCGAGATTCATTAAAGCTGAGAGTTAGGCTGCTCCTGGCAAGGCTGGTGCGGGCGCTGGAGGAGGCGAAGGTGCGGTCGGTGGTGGTAGAAGTGAAGCTGAAGTCCAGATCTGAATCGGGAGGGAAGAAGGAGTAATCGTCCTCCATTGATGATGGTAAAACAAATTCAGTAGTTTTGAACGTAATGGCTTAGTGGTGAAGGGCTATATATATATATATATAGGGAGGGGACAGAGGAAGACGAAAAGGAGTGGAAGGAGTGGGGCCTGTGACGCCATTAAACAACCTTTTTCTGTTTGGTTGACCTAATTGTAAACTGAGAGGGAAAGGAGAGAAGGGGTTATTTTCTATTGTTTGGTTGACTTCTACTGCCATACACCCCTTTCTTGCCTCATTTAAATATTAAATTATAAGTCTTTCATCTTTTATAATTCACCCACCTTCAGGGTCAGTGTCCTCGCTGACGCTCATTTCTTTCTCCAATTGATGTGGGACCCCTCGATCTATCCTCCTTTCGAGCCTAGCATCCTTGTTGACACATCACCTTGTATCCACCCCTTCAAGACTCAACCCATTTATTGGACTCTGATACCATTTGTAACCATCCAAACTAATATTGTCATTTTTTTTACTTTTCCTTCCACCTTTCTCTTAAAATTTTCAAATGGGTAGGTTAAACAGAAATTTTTATACTCTTATAAATAATGTTTCATTTCCCGGTAGTGTAAAAATATTAAATTTATTTCGGGGTGAAATTAAAATTATTTTTAAGTAAAAATAAAAAGTTTATTTATTTATTTTTTTTTTCTGAAAAAAAGAAACTACGAAGAATGGGTGAGGGGGTTGGGAAGAATTGAAGGAACCTGACAATGGCTTTTAATGACAATAAGCTGCGTATTGGAGTGTGTGATATTTAATTAAATATTAACTTAATTATTATTATTTTTTAATTAATATCCTTAATTTTATTTTAAGAATTCAAAATATTTTTATTATTAATACCATCTCTTAAAATATAAACTTTAAAAAATAATATAAAATAATATTAATACTGGTGTTATTAATATTCTTAAAAATTTAAGGGTAATTAGATTAATAATTTCCCTCAAGTTTTGTTAGCCTTCCTTCTAAAAAAATTCCAATTTCTCTCCAAAATAAAATAATTAAAAAAACTTAAAACAAAAATAAAATAAAATAATAAAAATTAAAAATATAAATCTAATGTCTGTATCTTACTTGGAGATTAAAATAAAGTATTAATTAAAATAATAAAATAATGGGATGAAAATGGAAAACAAGTAATGGGGCCATGTGATGGGCCAACACGGCCCATTGATAAGGGCCCACGTGGAAATGAACAGAATGCTGTCTGCCACGTGGTCAACACCGGCGCTACATTGCCGCCTACCTCCCCTTCCATACTTCAATTAGTTGGCCTCACGATTCCATTTATTTTAATTAATTATATATTATATTTCCTCAAAGGCGGTTATGTAGGTTGCAACAGTAAATATATTTCACAATTTTATTTATTTAAATCGATTTGAATTAAAATAATTATAAATTATGAAAATAAGATCTAAAAAAGTTGAAGTTTAAATTTATGAATTATTAGTTTTAAATTTTATTAATATATTTCTAAATTTTAAGACTATATATATATATATATATATATATATATTATATATAAAAAAATTAATTAAAAAAAATCTAACACGTATATAATATTATCTATTTCCGGTGTCAATTATCAATGACTTTACTTTAATTTTATCTTAAAAAAAAATCGTATAAATCAAACTGTTGCCTGTAGACCTGTAGGGATCCACCTCGATTAGGGTGAAAAATATTGGTTTAAATGGAGAACGGGGGAGAGAGCATGAAGAATTTTTTTCCATTAGTTAAACGGGATCGGGACAAATTTTATATTCCCTATCCGCTCCAACCCCACCTATATGTATATATATACCGAAATAAATAAAAATATTAAATTTTAAGTTTTTAAAAATCCCGTAGGAGAATATTATATATATAATTTGTTTATGATATATTATTGAATTTATAAAAAAATATTTTACTCTTTTTTTAATATAAATAATATGAAAAAATAGAAATTATCTATTAATCAAATATTTCTAAATAAAAAAAATATATATTAATTTTAATTTTTGTATAAATATGATGATTAAAGCTATATATTTATTAAATTAGAATAAAAATTGTGAGTTATAATGATATAGGTGGGGTGTGTTATAACTCAAAAATAGATAATAAAATTAGTTATGGAAATAATTTATCAATTATTTCTTCAACCTGCTTTTAATTATTAATTGGAGCTATTAATATGGCAATAATTAAAATAAAATATGTTTTATTTTTAGTTACGACTTTAATTATGAATTAATTCCAAGTTGTTATTAGAAAAAATAAATAAATAAATAAGTCACATGGCAAGGTCACGTGCCACCAGGCTGGGTGTGATAAATACGTATTTTATTATTATTTTTCAGTGAATCTAAAACATTAGAGCTTTGACATGTGTTTTGTTCGTGTCCCTGACTCCCACCAAATTAGCACCTCCATCTAATAAGTCAAGTTAATTAAATAAATAAATAAATAAACAAATTATTTATAATTAAATTTATTTTTTATAATTAAGTATGCAACAACCGTTAACCGATATTGTCCACCTTGGTCTATTACGTATTGTCGTCAGTCTCACAATTTTAAAACATGTTTATTAGAGAGAGGTTTCTACACCATTTGATGTTTTGTTCCCTTCTCCAACCAACGTTAGATCTCACGATTGTGAGATCCCACATTTAGTGTTTGTGTAACAATCCAAGCCCACCGCTAGTAGATATTGTTCGCTTTTTTGCCCGTTACATACATCATCAGCCTCACGATTTTAAAACACAGTATTAGGGAGAGGCTTCTCTACCTTTATAAGGAATGTTTCTTTCTCTTCTCCAATAAATGTGGGATCTCACAATCCACCCCCTAAAACCCAGAGTCATAACTAGCAGTGGACTTGGGTTGTTACAAATGGTATCAGAGTTTGATAGGGCGGCGTGTTAGCGAGGACGCTAAACCCTCAAGGGGATAGATTGTGAGATCTCGCATCGGTTAGAGAGGAGAACAAAACATTCCTTATAAGTGTGTGAAAATCTTTTACTAACAGACGCGTTTAAAAATCGTAAAATTGACAGCTATACATAATGGGCTAAAGCAGACAACATCTGATAGATTTGGTATGTTACAAAATAATTCTCTGATTCCCATTAATATAAAGAGAAAAAAAGTAAATTGAAAAAGAAATAAATAATATTTTGAAAAATAAAAAGATAAGGCGGCTCTATATAAATAAGCTTACTACTTGTTGTATATATACAAAAATAAAAATATTAAAAAAATGGCCAATAAAGACAAGAAAATATGGCTTTTATTACCAAAGTATTTGATTAAAATAAAATTGAAGGAATAATATGATGAAAAAAATTCCTTCTATTTTTTAAACTTAATTACTTAATATAATTTAAGCATGTTTGGTTGGATTATTAATATTTTTCTTTAAAAAATAAGAATAATAAGAAAATCATCATTTTATTAATTGATTTAAAGTTGAGTGAGAATACACAATTTTGATTGGACCATGAATTTTATTTAAATAATTATTTAATATATATTTGATAATATATTACAAATCATAAAATTAAATTATTTGAATATAAAATCTTATTAATCAATAGGTTAAATATGAGGTGAATATATTTTTTTAAATTGATTAAAAACCCTTAATAAATATTTTTTAAAAAATAAATAATGCACATTTTTTTAGATTAAAAAAAAGAATAATTAGGTGCATGCATAAAAACCAAATATCAATCAATGTTTTAACATTTTTTGCTCATGCAGTGTATTCTCATCCATCAACAATTTATGGTTATAACTGACTAATGATTGGATCATAGGTTAATAATACATTTAAATCAAACTATATATTATATTCTTTAACATTATATTAAATGTGTTAATATAAATAAGCATAATGTTTATAAGGTAACGTTGTCACTTAGCTATTTGACATGAGTTAGGTATGGCTGCCGTTAAAAGATGTTGGAATCATTTGACAATTTGAATGATTCAACCAAACTCAATTTAATATTTTAGTTTAAATAAGTCATGGAATGTGAGCGTTTTCAAACCTACATTCAGAGTAGAAATCGTTTAGAATTTTATAATGATATCGAAACTTGAAATAGTGTGACGGTGACCTAAAACGTGTGGTGATCTAAATTTTTTGTTATAAGCCATCGCTATAGTGAGATCGCACATCAGTTGGAGAGAGAAACAAATTCTTTATAAGAGTGTTGAACCCTCTTCCCAGTGGATGCGTTTTAAAACTATGAGTATGACAGCGATACGTAATGGGCCAAAAGGGACGATATCTATTAGTGGTGGGTTTGTGCTGTTACAAACGGTATCAAAGCCCAATACTGGATGGTGTGCCACGAGAACGTTGAGCCCTTAAGGGGGTGGATGGTGAGATCCCACATCGGGGTAGAGAGGGAAACGAAGCATTTCTTGTAAAGGTGTGAAAACTTCTCCCTAGTAGGCGCGTTTCAAAACTGTGAGATTGACGCAATACGTAATGGGCTAAAGTGAACAATATCTACTTGTGGTAAGCTTGAACTCTTACAACTACATTTTACACTCTTCGAATTACATAAACGATCGAGTTTTCTAGCGAACACACAGACCATGAACTGATCAAGTTGGATGATACCATCATCATCATAATGAATATTAACACACAAACAAAACAAACAAGAATCCCTCTTACTTTGAGTTTCTCCCTACTATTGTTCCCATGTTCCAACCCCTCTCCTTTTCCCTCTTACTTTGAGTGTCATTAGCTGCTCTCCTACCATTGCCTAGCAGCACCCTGTGTGCGTGTGCTGCCGCCATCCTTCCTCGGCTTCCAATGGACACCCTGACCTTCTCCATCCCCACATTGATTCCCCCTCGTTTCATTTGCATCTTCTTCTTCTGAACGCTTCCTCCTCTCACACACTTTATCTCATTAGGACTCTCGCAGTTGCTCTCATCTTCCTCTATCAACTTTGCTGATGGCAGATGAGCTGAGCTTGGCATGCTTGGTAGAGGCATTAGGGAATTTCTCCTCGGTTCGAGCGCCGTCGGTACACGTCGGCCCATTGTGCAAATCGACGCTCTTCCTGTCCTCTTCATTGGCACAAAAGATAGCTCAGCCATCCCTGGATTGTTCTCCTTCTCTGTTCCATCACTGATGCCACCAGGAAAAGGGTAGAATGATGGTTTGAAGCCGTTGTTCTCAGTTAGTGGGCGAGTATTAACCTTTATTTGCTGCTGCTGCTGCTTCCTTTCAACAAGAAGCTGCGCTTCAAGTTCTTTCACCTTGTCTTGTAGATTCTTGTTTTTCAGCTCTTTTTCCTTCATTTTCAACTCAAACCCATGTATTGTTTCTTCCATTTTCCTCATTTGTAGTTCTTTACCCTTCATATCCTGCTTTGAAGCTTGTGCCATTTGCTTGCATTTAAGGAATTCAGACATATCAAGCTGTCTTTTTGCAGGACCCAGCTCAATTCCCTTAACTCTGCTTGCGAAGTTCAATGAACAAAGAGTTTCATTCAAGTCATTTTCGTTTGGACTGATCTGTACGAACATTAGTGTCTTTGAATCTCCCCCTAACCACATGAATTCCACCATTTATCAGTAAAGAAACACACAAACAGTGCATATGTAATCTAGAACAGAAGGTATAATACTACCTAGTGAATCTTGAAGCAAGTGAGTGAGCTTAGAGTTCCTGCCAACAATCAAGAACAAAGGAAGTCACGAGACAAAACATGTGAGATCCCACATTGGTTGAGGAGAGAACGAAGCATTCTTTATAAGCGTGTAGAAACCTCTCCTTCACAAACACGTTCTAAAAATCGAGAAATTCGAAAAGAAAAGCTCAAAGAGAACAATATCTGTTGGCTATAGGCTTTGATTGTTACCTAAAAGGAACGTGTGGACTTTTTGTCCCAAGAGCAGCTATGACATCCCCAAGTGCAGAAAGTGATCTGTTAATGTTTTGTGTTTCCTTGAGACGTTCACCCTGTACTTCTACTTTAGCTATCCGCTCGCTCCCTGCCAAGTCCACCAGCCAGAGTTTGCTGCTGGTGCACTCCCCACTCAGCAAATTCTCCCCTTTCACCATTACACAATGTATGCTGTATGTTAAGCCTTGTTAGGATCACAAACAACGCACATTTGATCTAGATGAATATAAAGAATCGGAGAGAGATAATGCAATAAAGAATATTGACTAAGGGTTTATATTCACTTCAGGTATTCCAACATTAATATCAAGCATGATCACATCCTTTCCCTAAGTAAACCAAACGTAAAAGAAATATAGACAGACCAGTGAGATCGGCTGCTGTGCTCGTTACAATTGGTTGAACCAACAGCTCTTGCATTACTGCCAGTTTGTAGAACTTCCCAAACTTCACTCATGTTGTGAACAGGAGCCTCCACCATGCCAGGAACATGATGTATTCCTTCACTGATTTGCCTTACTTCAAGCCTGAAATTCTAACAAAAGTGAGAACTTTCACTTATGGAGAGAACTAACATCAAATTCTGCACATACTTACCGTTTTATACCGTTCCCTGACTGAGATCCTGACACTAACAAGTCCCTTATTTGCTCATTATACACTTCCAAGACACTAACAGATACTTTATATCGATTGAGCTTCTGCCGCTCCTTCGTTAAGCGAAACAACTCCTCAAGAATCCTATAATTGACTCCACGAGCTCCTTCAGTACCCTCCATTGTAAAGGTTTTTCCAGTCCCCGTTTGGCCATATGCAAATATGCAAACGTTGTAGCCATCTAGAACTGAAGCAGCAAATGGAGCAGTGTCTTCAAAGACATCTCCTATAAATGCAGGTACATGAATAATCAATATGCTATCGTGCATCACATCTAATACACTGCTAAACGTTTCCAAATTACCTTGATTTGCTTGAGGACCAAATACAGCATCAAATTTGAAGACCCTTTTGGGACCTCCATTTGACTTAACAATCAGCTGACCATCTTTAGCTGACTCAAAATCAACAACCATAGGAGCTCCAGAGGCAATCTCTTCTGTATTTAAGGGCCTACACCGACAAAAGACCCTAATGTTTCCTGCAATGAAGAGTATAACATCACTAAGTGTATCATGTCGTTTGAAACAAGAACACTGCAGTAAAGCTAGCTGACCTTTCAACTCCAACATCTTATTGTAGAGTTCTTTACGTTCCTTAGCTCCTTCAACAAATTTGGTCTTCAGATTTTCTTGAAAATCTAATTGCTGCTTAACTATCAAAGATTCAAAGGCAGAGGAAAACCCAGTAAACCCAGTAGACTCAGATAGCTAATTAGCAATGTGTTCCTAGAATTAACGTTAAGGCATGCTAGCTTACATGCTGTCTGAATTTGGGATGTCATCATTTCGTTCATATCCACAAAGCAGCTCTTGAATGCAAGTGCCTCCTCCGACAATTTGATGTTTTCCATTTTCATAATCTGACAGACAGGATGAAACTTCTTAATGACTCATTCTTTGTAACCGCCTAAATCCATTGCTAGATGATATTGTCCGCTTTGGCCAGTCACGTATCGTCATCAGCCTTACGGTTTTAAAACGTTTCTACTAGGGAGAGGTTTCCACACTCTTATGAGGAATGCGTCGTTCTCCTCTCCAACTGATGTGGGATCTCACAAATTCACCTCCTTAGGGGTCCAACGTCCTCGCTGGCACACCGCCCGGTGTCGGGCTCTAATATCATTTGTAACAGCCTAAGCACCACTAGCAGATATTGTCTGCTTCGGCCTATAATGTATCACCGTAAGCATCACGGTTATAAAACGTGTCTACTAGGGAGAGGTTTCCACACTCTTATGAGAAATGCTTCGTTCTCCTCTCCAACCGATGTGTGATCTCACAAATCCACCTCTTTGGGGGTCCAACGTCCTCGCTGGCACACCGCCCAGTGCCTAGCTCTGATACCATTTGTAACAGTCTAAGTCCACCAGTAGCAGATATTGTTTGCTTTAGCCTGTAATGTATCACCGACAGTCTCACGGTTTTAAAACGCGTCTACTAGGGAGAGGTTTCCACACTTTTATGAGAAATGTTTCGTTCTCCTCTCTAACTGATGTGGGATCTCACCTTCTTAATTTTCACAAAGATATACTCTACTGCATACCTTTACTTTTCTGGTAAGATCCCTTAATGAGGAAAACCATTTGCTCTTTTCTTTCACCTGTCCCTCAACGGCAAAGGCTGCAAAGAAACCAAGGGAAAAAAGACATCAAAAGGTCATCTAACAAATAGTAAAGTAGCTAGAAGCTACAAAAGACGGTATCTATTACCAAGAGATCCAACATGCATTGACTTGCGCATGAGCTCATTTTGTAGCTCATTTAGAGACTTCCAAGCTTCTTGGCATTCCTTACTCTTCTGATTGTTTTCCTTTCTAAGCTCCTCCATTTGTTTCCTTGCTGCTGCTATCTCATTCTTCATCAGCTCATTCTCTTTTACTATCAACTCACTACTATCCTACAATACATCACAATGCAATAGTCTTATAGAATGCCCACAACAAGTTTATAAGAACACAATCAAGTTTATAAGAATGTTCACTTTGGAAATCTCTGAGTGTTCTAGTCGAGAGGATCCCACATCTTCGAGCAGCTCAACTTCTTTAACAACTGACATGAAAATTGTCCATTATCATAAAATTTGAACAAATACGAACCAACAGAAGTAAAATGCTTAGTTAACTCACTGGAAGGAAGATCTTTCCTCACAGAAATACCACAGACAATTGGCCTGCCCATCAGTCCTTCAAATCTAATGGTTAAATCTTTTACTTCTACAGAAGTTTTGAGGTCAGATATAATGAGAGGCTTATTCCCACCAACACGAGCGTATATGTCCAAGCCAGAAACGACCTACAACCAAACCAACACATATCTATCGAAATCTCTTAAGATTAGGAACACAAAATCAATGTGATATCATTTGGGTGATTGGAGACAGGTTCTTACCTTCTGATCCTGCAAATAAACATCAAACATCCTCATACCAGGAGGGCCATTGGTAAACACAACTTCAGCAAAATGAAGATCAACAACATAATCCCCAGGTTCCAATAACGAGAAGCTGTAAAAAAAGTTCCCAAAACGAGCTGTTTGATATAAAGGATGTTCAATTTCATCAGATCTAATGGTATCACCACCCTTGAACCAATTGTCTTCCACATAGTTTATCCCATCCAAACTCACAGCATCATTTGAGGAACCTGCATTGACACTTACAGCTTGAAGGAGTTCTTCAGATTGTGTAGAACTGGTAGCTGGAGGAGTTGCCAACTCAAAGGAAGATTCTGGAGAAAGTTCTGGATCATAGGTTTCACACAACTGGGAAAATCTAACAGATGGAGTTCTCTGTTTGTAATTAACCTCAATTCCAGAAAAGCTACTTTCGAAGGAAAGCTCCATAGACTTAGAACACTTGATATCGAAGAGTTCTGGTGAATCACAGTAGTTATCCATTGCAATATCAGGAGAAATGAAGGTAAATTCCGGAATGGATTGCGCTGTAAATTCAGAAGAACACAACACAACAGAATGAAATTAGGGTTCTTAATCATCACTTCAACCGTAATCCACCATAAATTTTCAATGAATTACACTATTCCAAACTCAAAAGCATCGCACACAAAATCATCGAACAGCGTTTACCTTCACCGGGGCTAGAACAGCAATCTTGATCTTGCATCGAAGCCGAACTGTTCAGGAGGCAAGAACAGGGTAACAAGGAATCGATAACCAGAAATGGCAATGTAATTAATGGATCAGAAGAAGTAAATAATGAGAGTTTGTCTGTAAAGAGAACAAAAAAGAAGTTGCAGAGAAACAGAGAGCGATGATGATTCTGGTTAAGTAAAAGAGATGCAAAATTCTGCGTTACTCGTCTTGTCGACCGTTGGGGTTTTCTTTTTAAAATTTTGAAATTTGTACCTCCTTAACGGAATTTGAAATTTGTGAAGGCGGGCACGGGCACGGGCAAGGGCAGTGGGTGGGCCCCAATGGCTAATAGATATTATTCGTTTTAAGATCCATCTGTCTTATACCTTCTAGTGATTGACTCTGGTACTATTAGTAATAGTTCAAGTCTACTTCATGTTGGATGATGAAAGTCCCACATCGACTAATTTAGGGAATGATCATGGGTTTATAAGTGAGAAATACTAACTCCATTGGTATGAGGCCTTTTGGGGAAGCCCAAAGCAAAGCCATGAGAGCTTATGCTCAAAGTGGACAATATCATACCATTGTGGAGAGTCGTGTTCGTCTAACACTTCAAAGTTTTCATCTCTTCTAAAATGCACTTTAAAAGCTAAATGGGTTGGGATGTTTGTATTTAATGAATAAGGGCATAACAGTCATTTCCATCTTAAATTCGTCTAGGCTTACATCACAACCACAAAATTTATATTTGAAATTTACTATAAATCACTTAAATAGAGACATCTTATTGGTTGGAGAATAGAACGAGACATTAGTTGGGAACCAGAGTTCAAAAAAGACAATATCTACTACATTTATTTATATTTTTATAATATTATCTTAAAAAGAATGATAATTAGGGTTTGAAAATTGGTTGGGAATAAGAGAGGAGAAGAAAGAGGGGTAGAAAGGGAAAAGGGGGAAGGAATCACGTGATAAAACATGGAAGACTGGGGAAAACCCCCAGCCAAACACGCCCCTTCATTCTCTCTCCTCATTTTTCTCTCTTTCTCTCTCTTAAATAAATAAAATAATAATAAAAAATGGGATCAAATCAATCCTGTCAATCTGAGTTGGGGATTAGGGGAGCCCACTCCCAAACACTGCCCTTATTGCCCATTCCTGAAATATGGTCAAACCTAACTCTTCGCAGCTTTTTCTCTCTTTGTTTTTCCCACTCCACAGGAAAACACACACATCATCACCAACCATATCTCAGTCCCTCTTTTAAAAACCTCAAAACAAGTGTATTCTGAGATTCTACATCGGTTGGAACAACGATACAGAAACTTCTGTTGGATGATGAAAGTCCCACATCGGTTAATTTAGGGAATGGTCATGGGTTTATAATCTAAGAATACACTCTCCATTGGTATGAGGCCTTTTGGGAAGCCTAAAGCAAAGCCATGAGAGCTTATGTAAGAATACACTCTCCATTGGTATGAGGCCTTTTGGGAAGCCTAAAGCAAAGCCATGAGAGCTTATGCAAGAATACACTCTCCATTGGTATGAGGCCTTTTGGGAAGCCTAAAGCAAAGCCATGAGAGCTTATGCTCAAAGTGGACAATATCATACCATTGTGGAGAGTCGTGTTCGAAAGCAAAGCCATGAGAGCTTATGCTCAAAGTGGACAATATCATACCATTGTGGAGAGTCGTGTTCGTAAGCAAAGCCATGAGAGCTTATGCTCAAAGTGGACAATATCATACCATTGTGGAGAGTCGTGTTCGTCTAACAAGCCATGAGAGCTTATGCTCAAAGTGGACAATATCATACCATTGTGGAGAGTCGTGTTCGTCTAACATGGTATCAGAGTCATGCCCTAAACTTAGCCGTGCCAATAGATTGGCAAATCCTCGAATGTGGAACAAAGAACTCCTCCAAAAAGGAGTCCAGCCTTCTTGAAGGTACGAAGGCAGTCAAAAATGACTAAGACTCCAAAGGAGTCAAGCCTCGATTAAGGGGAGGCGTGCCAAATCCTCGAATGTGGAACAAAGGACTCCTCCAAAAAGGAGTCAAGCCTCGAGGTACGAAGGCAGTCAAAAATGACCAAATCCTCGAATGTGGAACAAAGGACTCCTCCAAAAAGGAGTCAAGCCTCGAGGTACGAAGGCAGTCAAAAATGACTAAGACTCCAAAGGAGTCAAGCCTCGATTAAGGGGAGGCGTGCTTTGTTCGAGGGGATTTTTTCGGGAAGCCTAAAGCAAAGCCATGAGAGCTTATGCTCAAAGTGGACAATATCTTGGATTGTTACATAAATTATCTTAAATATCTATCATAGGACTCAACGTGATGAGAACGCTCGATAAACTTCGACATCACAAACTCCTAAAGGATGCAATGTGGAAAGATGTCTCTTTCACAAATTATGCATAATTTTTTCGTATCATCTTTACATTGCTGAAATAACATTATAAAGAACCTGCGTGTAAGAGTTTTAGGGTTTAGAAGATTTTCTCGACACAAAAAATTTGAAAGTTCGACTTTGAGCCATTATTAAATAATAGATAAACAACTGTCCGACCAAAATACAATAATTGAAATGAGTTTGAGTAAGAAAATGGCATCAAATTTGATCAAATAATTATGAAGAACCGAACATAACTCTTCCAGAAACTGATATTTGTTCTACAGCTCGACCTTGTCTCTACTCTAAGTCAAGATCCTTTGAATACACTGTTACATATCTTATTTTTCATTTTGATTCTCAAGTCTCGGAATGTCATCGACCTTCAGTGCTCACTCGGACACGCTTATTGAAAATCGACCCATGAATCAACTATATAACAGGGACATCCCGAACATCAATCTCGTGTCCATATGTAAGTTTGATAAAAATCCAAGTGAATGGTTATGAATATTAAAATCCAAAAGGACAAAGGCATGTTCAAATATTCCATCAACAAACAACACAATAATATCCCTTTGCTTTTAACTCAAGACATATCAACCAAACTCACTAACACCAACACACTTTTCTTATTACATACCCAACATTTCCACATTCTTGCCCCCTTTCGAGAGCGATACAACCATGCGTAAACAACAATCAAAGCTCCCCGTTCGATAATACCAGCGACTTAATCATAATAATTCTCTATCGAGTAACCTTCCGACAAAATTTCTATGAAACATATGAGTGAGGATAAAACATACTAAAAATACCCATGTTCGTTTGTGTAGAAATAGTTAGTCATGTCATAGGGGAATGTCGGGACATGCAGGTATCAAATTCATATTTCAAATCCGGGTTTAAATCTTGAGTCCAAGCATTCAAAACCCGATGGGATATTATGTTTGGTGAGATGTTAACCTCAAAATTGGATGGAATATGAAGCGTTAGATAAAAGGCATTTATATAAAACAATTTAAAACCTACTCCTATTTATAGCCAAATAAAATAATAATAATAATCAACTTACTTTTTTTCTAATAATTATACTTTTTTTAATTACAAAAAATTCCATATCATATGTCAATTATTGCCTCTTCTCTCATAATATTTCTTTTTAATTAAGATAAGAGTAAAAAAAAAAAAAAAAAAAAAAAAA